ATACAATTTTAAAACAATTTTTATGGGGTGATTAGAACTTTGATTCTGGAAAGTTACAAATGGACAAAAGAGCCAGATAGATTGGAAGTAAGATTTTGTAATTAATTATAAAAAATCCTTCCTGTAGGAAAATGCTTTTGTTTTGAATTCTTTTTTAAAGAAAACATGATCTGATGGGACTTCAAAAAGTGGACATTAGAGGAAACTAGAAGGAGCTAAAGATTAAAATTAAAGGAGAAGAATATCTGAATTAAATTCAAGCTACAAATACAAAATGAAGCAAAACATTTTAACATTGGGCATATTGAAAGATATTTTTGAATAACGGACCCATAAGTTAATTTAGAGACTATTAAATAGATTGTGTTTAAAAGCTGAGCTTCAACCAAAAGCTTATAGAGGCTAGACACACTCTTCATTTATCATACCTATTTCCAGTTGTAGGTGTGTGTTTGAATTGCTCTGATAAATTTAGATTGTACCCCTTTCAGAAAGGTGAAACATGAAGCTGGGGGTGGGCAATTGGGGTCTCATAAAGGAACTGGGCTAGCAGCTTAGTCTGAAAAAGTCTTTGTTCCGTATTAGCAGGCTTGAAGCCCTGCATTCCCATTGGTCCACTTAAACTGCTACCTGATTGGTCAGCCTGAACGGTTGTGATTGGCTCGCTAAGAGTCTGCCGCGATTGGTTAAATCCAAGTGCGGGAGACTCAAAGCAGCGTCATTGGCCACCTAGCCTCGGCAAAGCTCTATAAAAGAGCCGCCAGTGCTGCTATTGTCTCAGTCTGATTTAACCTACTAATAAAGAGCTGTTGTTACCGAACCCGAGTCTCTCGTCTCTGAACGCCGTCCTCCCGAACTTAACAGTCTTCATATCTTTTTTTTTCTTTAAGGCCACTGCTTGTTTATATTGTCTTTAAGGATGATGTTCAAGGATTATTATGTTATTGTCCCCTGTCTCAGGTGATAAACTGAGGCTTTCTTAGCCTCAACAACTTTATTAAACCATGGCTTTGAAGAAATTAGGTGCTGCTTAATCAAGTAATTCAACTCAAAAATTATAGTTTTGGCTCTAGAGTTTTGTATATGATGAAGGGATCTTTTGTGAGATTGAACGACATGAGGGTCAATCAATATTTTTGTCAATTGTCCTTTGCCAATGCCCTCTTCATCTTTTGGCTAAGCTAAGAGGTGCATATGGCAACATTTTGCTTGACCTACTAAGGAAATTGAAGAAATGAAATGAGCCTCCAGATATGTCTGCCAAGTGGCAGGCTTCAAATGTATGCAAAGGGGAAAATGTTTGCTACCACTACTTAAATGGGAAAGTATTCTGAAATGCTTCCCCTAAAGTAGCAGGTTTATAATAATTAGTATTTAATTAGGGTTAAATTGAAGTGAGATGGGCTTCAAACAAACAAACAAACAAATAAATAAATGTACTTGTTCTGATGCATGCCATAAATGTAAGTTTGCCTGGGTAGTCTCCTTTGAAATTATTACAAGGAGATTAAACCTATTTGTCATTTTTGCAAGGTAGAATCCAATATAATTTGATATTTTAACTTTGGAGACACGATAAAAAAGTGGTGCGAGTTAAACTGAATTTCTGATTTGGTAGTTACTTGTGGAATTCACAGTGTATAATAATCAGGGCCCAAGCATTAAAGCCCCTTCCCTGCACTATATTAGCATTTGGGTAATCCAACAGAAGGTTGTCAACATAGCTCTGTCCATTCAACACAGATTTCAGTTTTTCTTTGTAATGGAGGGGACTAACATTAATAATTAACAATGATCTAGTACCCAAACTAAGTAGCAGGGCCATAGTCACTTGCTTCAAAGGAGGGTTGTAAGTAAATGCTTTAAAGTAAGTGCTACTTTTCAAGAGATGACCTATCAACCACCTATCAGCCCACCACGGCCCTCTGTCTAAGTTGCTTCCATTTTATATGAATGATCCCATTAAGCAGGAGATCATCAGCTGCCCATGTTTCTTGTACAAGAATTATATCCTCCCATACAGAGGACCAAAACAATTGAAGCCTCTATTATGATACCAGCCAGCAAGATTCCATGTTAGTATTTTTAAAGTGTTTACCTTCTACTGGTTTACATGCTGTCATGCAGAAGCACTATGAATCCTGACATATCAATGTCCACTTTATGGTGGACTGATGAGTCTCACCAATAAGCATAACTTCTGAAGAGACAGAATTCTGAAAGTTAAAATTATCAGGAGGTTACTCATGAACCTGAGTAACTGTAAAAAAAAATTTTGATTTTGAGGATTCTGGTCATTTTAGACAATTGTTCGAATACGAATTAAAAACAGAAATGTTCTTTTCAAGCTCTGTGCTGGAGTTTTGTGAGTCTGATTTGTTCAAGGCAGCTGTGACAGTGCAGATAAATTGCTCCTCCTCAACAGCACAATCTCTTTGTTTCCCCAAGATGAATTTTTATTATCCCGCATAATTAATTGTGCTAAACGTATTAATGGCTTAGTTGTTTTACAGGTTGTAGTTAAATATTTTCTCAGGCTATCCAGCCTTTTAATGATGTCATCCTAGTCTATATTCAACCAGGCACTAAAAGAGTTAATCAAACCTTCTTCTAGTGGTTCATTAGAGAGCTGTGTTGCTATGAATTGGACAAATTGTTTACATAAATCTTTCTCCTGCAGAGGCTCTGTTGATAAGATGTCCTTGAAGTTGTCTGAGTGGAGATACTTTTGTGTGATAAAGTAAAGCAAAGATAAATACTCTCATGACTGCACTGAGTTAAAAGTGAAATGATTTTCTTATAATGGAAAAGTTGGGAAATTTGGGAAAGCACTCAAAGAAGGATTCATTTTAAAGAATATACTGCAGCCTGCCCAAATGTCAACAGGACTCACTTTAACTGCCTCCAGGTGGAAGTCTATTGGTTGCCTTTCACAGCATAGTAACTGGACTTGGCAATGCCCTTTTTAGACTCCACCTGCCTCTGTTTACTCTGTTATATAGAATTTGCAGTTATTAGTTTGTAAGAAACATTTGCTTCTTTTTTTTCCTGTCACTTCCCCTTAGACGACTGAATTCAGGGTTGAGGTCCTCCTTTGCAGGACACAATTTAGACCCAAACCATTTGCTTTGGCAGGGTGAGTGATTTTCTTTGATTGGCTCTCAATACATTTTCCAAAGGATTCTTACAGAGAATCTACTTTATTTTAACTGCAATCAGCAAGTCGAAGGTTGAATGAACAGTCTGTGCTGTCAATAGATTCTGTCTAGTTATAAAATGTGATGTATTTTGTTTTTTCGGGAACCTAAAATTAGAGCTTTCATCTCCATCCTGTATGAGCTGTTTGGTGGCTGAGCAAACAACAGCCTCTGGAGAGGGAACATTTACTATCAGAGAGAAGAAAAACTCTAAAAATTGTTGATTCTCAATCTTAGCCTGTAGATTCCTCTCTAAAAGGTCATATCTATCCCACAGATGAAGTGAAGTAGCATTATTTACTGGAGAAGCTTACTTGCTTCTGATAAATCTGTCAATTTTGTTGCTTCAGTTCAGAGGCTTAGCTTAGAAGATATCTGTGTTGCAGAAGATATCCACTGCCATTCTTCCTTTTCTCCAAGACTACAATACAAATGTGCTTGCTGTAAAAAAAGGCTGATCCAAGGTAGTAATATTTTCTTAAAGTAAAACTGTAAAAATGACTGTTAAGAGAAGTCAAGTAATCTAAAAGTAAGCAGTGAATTAAAATGCAGGCTAGATAAAAAGTTTTTAGAGAGAAGATCATTATAAGGATTATGTGTTAGATCTTCTCCACCAAGTTCCTATCATAATAAATTGTTCTCAATGTTTTATTTAGAAGTAAAACTTCTGGTAAGTTTTACTTACCAAAATGTATATGTAAAACTACTAATATCTGGTATAAAAGTGCTCCAAATCTCTCATGTTCATTTAAAGCGAAGATTTCAATGAATCTATGCAATGTGGGGATCATAATATTTTTTCTGAGTATTTCTCAAAAAGAAAGATGGACATATAAAACTCCCACTCTCTGTACAAAATCACCTTTAATTGGCATACTCATTTTAAGCTTAGCCTTCAAGTAGGATGATCCCAAGTGCAGATTTTCAGTCCTAACGATTTATTTTTTTGTGAACTTTCTCCAGGATAAAGATCTGTCATGTCCATTTTTTTGCAGATTTAAGAAACTGAATGTAAACTGTTTTGTACCATTATAATAAATTTGTCATGAAGCTTTTCTCCAGAACTCATACCAATAATTTTCCCCCTCATCCATAAAGAAAACATCAGGCTAATTTTGATCATGTTGAATTCCAATATACTATTTCAACCCACTTTTCGTTGTATTTTAAATTTTGTTGGTAATCTACTCTGTTGGTAATCTTTCTTTTAATGTTAATTAAAGTTGCTTAATAAACCTTGCAGTATTTTGAATGTCCCTATGGTCGAATTAACAACAAACTATTTTGGAAATTATTTTATTACCTTGTACAATCTGTTGATCTTGGTTTATTTTCATGCATGCATTTGAATTACTTGTTGCAGCCCAAAGGTTGTGACATAACCTATACAAATGTAGGCATATGCATGTATACATACATATACCTGGTGCTATGACAATGCCAAAAACTGCACAGCCGTATCTATTATGATTCAATCAATGGGGGGAATGTGCTTTTACAATAGTTTCAGCTCCATCCAAAGTAAAACCTGAAAAAAGCGGGCCCTTTGATTTTTCACACACTGACATCAACAATCACGAGGCGCCTGATATATTTCTCTGATGGGGGCGGGGGGGGGGGTTGAAATCTTATGCGCAGTCGCAGTAGGGAAAAGTGACTTCATTTTCCGCCACCTCAACGTCGGGTTCTTTCCTTCCGCCTCCCGGGTCCCGTTGCTTTGCCGAAGCAGCGGCTGAAGCGGAGGGAGGGCGGGGAGCAAAGTGGAGGGCCCGTGTGCGCATGCGTGACGTCGCTGCCAGGAACTGGCCTGGCTACTGTTCCTGCTGCCGCTGGTGGCGCGGCGGACTGAGGAGGTCTGTATCGGGCAAGGAGGCGGCGGCGGCGGCTCCTCAGGGATCGATCCCGAGGGTGAAGCTGATGCCTTGCGGTGCCGAGCGCTGCTGCTCGCGGCTGAGTCTTCCCCACCCGGCTGGGGATGCTGAGTAAAGGGACGCTGCAGCGCGTGCTGTCTGCCATCAATAGGCGACGGAGGATGAAGCTGCTGATGGGGCTCGCCCTGGTCGCCTATGTCGTCTGTAAGTAGAGCGGCGGGAGACGGGCACTTCATTCATCCGGCTCCTTTGGGCAGGCCGGGCAATTGGCACGCTTTTTCTGGCCCCGGGAAAGCAGGGCAGGCTGCTTTCCTTGTGCGCGTCCCTTTGCCCGGCCGAAGGCAGCATCGAAGGTGTTGCATGCAGCGCGGGCAAAGCACAACAACAACAACGCAGGGAGCGGAGACGTGCCGTAGCAATTCCGGGGTTGCCATAGGTTTTTTTTTTGGGGGGGGGGTTCACTTGAGATTGGCAGGCTCCTACTGGGGGAGGGGTTGTCTTATTTTTAAAAGGAAAAGGGTCCTGCCTTCTCTCTTCATTGTGCCTTCTGTTCCTGGTGCTTCCTTTGAAACTTTTCAGAAGTCCAAAAACAAAATTCTTTCACCCTCTGATCTGTCACTGGGTTATAGGCCCTGGCTGTTACAGCTGACCACAAGCGCCTCTTTCGCTATGATTGTGGTTTTGAATATATTTTCTCTGAATGTAGAGAAAAAGAAGCTACAGTGAAGGAACTAACTTTTTCACATCCTCAACTGATCCTCGCCTTTGAAGACAGAGCACAGCAAATATAAATGGGAATCCAGTTTGCTGACTTTGGTTCCTCTTGAAGTTTTGGGCTCAAATTCCAACTGGAGATTACAAAACATTCAGTCCAAGGTATCTAGAGCAGGTATCAAGGGTGTAATTAACGGAATATGCTATCTGACTTGCTGGCCACCAGAAGAGTAGTTGAATAAAGGTCTGAAACCCTTAGTTGCTGTCCAGGTTTTCAACATCCTCAAGGTTTGAACTTGATGCATCTGCTGTGCCAGTGACTGCAAACCTTTTGGGCTTGGGCTCTCAAAAATTTGGAAAATGCGTAACCTGACTCTGCTGGCATATCACCCCATCCCTGAACCAAAGAAAACAATTTATCTCCCCTGCATCCAGGCCACCCTAAACAGGGGCACTCAGTGGCAGCATTGCCTCGACTTCAGCCCTAGTGCCACCACTGCATCAAAAAGCCACCTCGCAGCACCATATGCCAGTAACCTTTGGGTGGTGTCCTCATTTTCTTTCTGTTGACAGGCCCCTGCGACCCACCTGGGACTGCACAAGGCCTTCGTTCGTGAAGTGATTTTGAAGAATGCCCTTTCACAGTCTCTGAAGCTCCCCCAAACCACATGAGAGCATGATCCATTCTCACATGATTTTCAGATGCTTCACAAGAACACCGTCCTTTTGCGTGACTTCAGAAGAATCTGGAGATTATGTGAGGAACACCTCATTCTCACACGGTCTCTGTAGCCTTTGAAAAATGCATGAAAATAGGGCATGCTTTTAAGAATAGTTGTCAGATGTTGTTGAATGTTGGTGTGACACCTGAAACATCATGACCCTATACTCATGTGCATTCCAGAGGTGCAGTATTGGATCATGAAAGCTCTAGCCATGTTATACTTACATTGTGACTTTTCACACAAACCTAAGGAGAGAACTTGCAGTGTAATATTAAGATAGATGTTTTATCATTTTGAAGATGCTACAGGTTGCTGCAAACAGCCATAGTTCTGCATTGTATTATCAACTAAATCACAATTTACTCAGGTCTGTACCCATCTTCAGCCTGGTTCTGTCTAGCTATTTTTGGAATTAAATTATAATTCTTGTGTTGTGTCTTACGAAAAGAGTCCATATGTGTTCTTATCTCATATTTACAAAGACAAGTTTCTGAGGTGTAATAAGTATCCTAAAGAATTGCAACAGTTGATGGAAGGCCAGCATTTCACCCTGAAAGGCCAAGAACATCTTTCTTGGGTTGGGAAGTATTGGGCCATCACAATACTTAGCTGCCTAATTGAAGGTTCATGTAACTGTATTTTTTAAACCTTTGTTTACAGTCTGAAAGTTTTAAGATCAGATTGGATAATGTCAGCTGACATTACATGACAAATATTTGAATATTATTATAATGTGGTTCTTGATAGAAAACAAAATCGATAGACTTGTTTTATATACAGGACATTTGTTTTATATGAGACATATCAGTGGAACATTCCATATTACCAGAAAGAAGCTTAGAATAGCCTTTCAGATCTGATATTCTCCATCTATGTAGTTACGACAAGATTTACTGGTTCTGCTGACCAAGAATTATAATCTAACCTGGAGGGCATCAGCTAAAGAAAGTTGACTTTAAAGAAAGTTTTTTGCTTGCCTATGGTTTTGCAGTATTGTGGCTTTATTATGTGTTATCTCTGGTAGTCAGGCTTAAGATACTGGTGTCTAGTCTGTTTTATTGTACCATAATCCTCTGTCGATCACATGCTTTTGATATAAGCTGTTTTTTTTCTTCCATTCAATTGTGTTCAATTCTCAGAGACCATCTGGAAAAGCTCTCTGCAGTTTTCTTGGCAAAGTTTTTTGGAAGTGGTTTTCCATTGCTTCCTTCCCAGGGCTGAGAGAAGGTAACCCACCCAAGGTCACCAGTTGGTTTTGTGCCTAAGGTGGGCCTAAAATTCCCACCTTAGTTTCTAGTCCTTTAACCACCACACCGTATATATATATAATGGACAATGAATGAGGACAATGAATGAGTTTTCCAATATAATCCAATATAATTTCCAATATAATTATAATTGCTTTCTATTGATTTTAGGAATTTTGTAACAATGAGTAAGGCCTTTTAGTATGTACAGTACCTATGATGGTTCAGTTTTGCATGTTTAAGGAAACTAGTGATGTTTGCTAAATATTTGTTCTGCCTTGCAGGATACTAAGGTATCTACTAGCCATTTATTTGTGATGCAAATGGTTCTCTCTCAAATTATCCCCTAGATAGTTTGTCTTTGAAATAACATTGCAGAGTTGTCAAAAAGTGTCACAATCTCCAAAGGTTTCAAGTGAAGGGATATTAAAAGAAGTACCAGTTGTACTTTTTAATATTACTTAATTAGTTTCAATTTGTTTTCCACATGCCTCCTTTTCATAAGAAAACTAACTGTATTTATTAGATTTTTAACCGTTTTATTATCTCATAAGTAATTCAAGGTGGTGAACATAATTGACACTCTTTCCTCCCATTTTCCCCACAACCCTGTGCGGTGGGTTGAGCTGACAGAGAGGCACTGGCCCAAGCTCACCTAATCAGGTTTCAGGCCTAAGATGGGATAAGAACTCACAGTCTCCTGGTTTCTAAACAAGCACCTTAACCACTACACGTTAGCAATATTTTTAAATAAAAATAAATTTTAAAGCCATCTGTATTTTAAAACTGTTTAACTTTCTCCATTAAAATTGCAGTAAATTGTAATTTTTGGTAATTTATTTTGATTAAAAAAATAGCATAGTTCATGCTTCATGCTTCATAGTTCATATGCTAGAGTTTATAATACAGTTGAAATGGACATCATTTCTCTACTGAATGGAACCAATAGTTGGGTTTAACTTCTCTTAGGGTCTACCATTTCCATCCCACAGATGTGTAGTAGGATATCTGTAATCTTTGGAAGATACATGTTAGTAAAGTTCAGTATTTTTTTACTTCTTTTATATACTGTGAAGTTATGCCATTGTTCTATTTGATATGTAAATTAAAATATAATTATTAGAAGTAGGTGGCATTCTGAAAGCCAAGGAAAGCATTAGTTTTATCCAGAAGGAGCAAAATGCAAATTCATTTATCCATTTAGGGAGTTACAGATGAGAATGTTTGTTTTTAGAATACTGTATGAGAGTTTCAAAATGGGCATTGTGCTTCTGTCTTTCTCCATTAATTGTTATTGATGCTGTTTATATATTTAAAATGACCTTGGTTAATGGGCAGGAAGTCTGTTTGGCCTTAACCCTGCTGGATTTCAGGAAGATACTTCTTCTGCAGGCTCTAAGTTAGAATGGTGTATGGCCTGTCTAATTATTGTATGAGATGTAGTTTATATATTTCTTTCCTTCTGCCAGCACAGAGGTCTTCAGGTTTCCCCCCCTCTGTTTCTACTGAAGTGAGACATCTTAGAAACTGATCAGGTAAAAAAGTAAATAGATGCCTGTTACCATACTGTGCTTAATAAAGAATTTGCAGGGGAAATGAGTTTGCTTAATAATTTATAACACCTTCACTTCTCTTGCACATAACAGCTTGATAATAGTTGATACAGAAAAATCAGAGATGTGGATGAATTCTAAGTCATAATGTTCTGAGCTTTAAGCAATTATTTTGAGTCGTTCATGTCCCAAACAAAGCACACATTTGTTACTTTTGCTTGGATAGTAAAAGAAAATATTGCTGTTTCAACTGGAACTGTTTCAAGCGTTCCATGTTGTTTTAGAAAGGTTTGCACTATAATATTATCTTTGGATTTTTCCTTTCTATCTTAACACAGTGGGATCAATCATTCCCCTGTTGAACTGGTTTAGGCCAGAGGTCCCCAAACTTGGCAACTTTAAGACTTGTGGATTTCAACTCCCAGAATTCTCCAGCCAGCTGAAATCCACAAGTCTTAAAGTTGCCAAGTTTGGGGACCTCTGGCTTAGGCCATGTAGAAAGGACTCCAAGGTGATTTTTGCAGTGGCATTTTAAGGGATACCATCTCACCATTTCTTTTCCTTCTATTGATCCAGTACCTGAATACCCAGAAGAGGGGTGTTTGTGTGTGAATATATTTTTAAAATCCTATAGAAAAAATGGGACATCGTGTGCAGGTAGAAAGTAGGTAAAATGTGAATGGAACATCAAATTCTCAGACAACACAAAGCTGGGTTGAACAGCCAACACTTTAGAAGATAGGCTCAAGATTCAGTAGGATCTTGACACTTTTAAACATTGGGCTTTATCCAACAAAATGCAATTTAGTAGTGAGAAAAGTAAGGTTTTACACAAGCAAGAAAACCCAGATGCACAGGTATAGAATACTGTAAGTGGTACCTGGCTCAAAAGCAGTAATGGTGAGAGGAATCTAGGAGTCCTAATGGACAGTCACTTAAATATGAACCAGCAGTGTGGTGCAGCT